ACCTGTCTCCTTAGTAGGTGGGGAGCTACTTGGCTTCCTCGGGGACTGGGGATTCTGTAAGAAGGAGGAGCGAATGTTCTCCAGTATGCTGTGACTCTGCTCTGTGCTGTCCACTGCCAAAGCAACAGCTGCCTTTGGGAGCATTTTAAAGCACAGAGACGCTCAGAGGCCGCGTCAGCAAGCTTCCACTACAGGTGTTTGTGGACATCTGGGCAGCCCCTTAAGAGCTTGTGGGTAATGTGATGACAGAAACAAACCCTTAACTTTGGTGACATAAAGATGCGTGAGGAGCACCGAGCCTCCTTAGAGCAGTTGTTAGCCTGCACCTCTCTGAGAAGGTGAGGTGAGCCAAGACCAAGGAGGAGGAAACTAAGCAGGAGGCAATGCAGTGCTGGGACAGGAAGGCTGGGGTGACTGGACCTGGTGAGCGTGGGCATAAGTGGACCAGACAGCCGAGGGGACTTGAGCCAGGTCAGGCCATGTAGGCCAGGGGAAGAGGATTTGGGACATCAAAGGGGCAGGGAGATGACTGTTGGGAATGTCCCTATACGGCTCTGTAGGGAATGGGGGGAAGGGACAGCAGTTGGGTTTCCATGGGCGTGAGTGGAAGGGGGTGCACCACCGGAGGGCAGAGAAAGCAGCCGGGGTGCTGTGATCTATTTTTAGAGGCAACTGAGATGTCCCAGGCAACCAGTTAGTACAACCTCTTCCCAGAGCCACAGCCCCCAGTGACACATACTCACTGCAAGATCATTTCCCTCCAAAGGCACCTGTCCCAGCGAGAGGGGGGCTTGTCTGGTGGGAAACACGCTCTTTTCTGACTCAGTAGGTCTGTTATATGCATGAGTGAGGGAGAAAGCCTGAAAGGCTTGAGAGTCTGTTACTGTTAGTCTTTGTTCCTTCCTCAAGGAGAGGCTAGGCTCCGAGCCTGTGTGCAAAGGCAACGCTCTTGAATTTGCCATAGCAGGTGAGAGCTACTCTCTAGAGAAATAAAAAAAGCAGAGGTGAAGATAATGTCTGGCACCGAGGCTCTTGTGGGGTGGCTGGATCCGAGGGGACGTCTATATGTGGGGATGCGGGAGGGCATTTTGGGAAGGATGTTGGGAGATTGGAGACCAGAGGGCTGTCTGCAGGAGCCACCCAAGGGTGTGCACCGTCAGGTCTCCGTGGGCATTTTTCACCCCTTGAGTTAGCCAACCCAAGAGTGTGCCTAAGCGCCTATGCTATTGTGATTTATAGTAAGAAATTTTATTTGGTCTTTATCCCCCTTTCTGAAACACAGTTCCCCAAACCCCTGCCATTTCCTAAGTGAGGAAAACCATATTTTTGTTTTAGTTTGGTTAGTGGGGTGATGATGTTTAGGAACATACCCAAGGATGGGAGCCAGTTGACCCCCATGTGACTAAAGGTCGGAACTTCCAGTCTCACCCCAGACCTCCAGGGAGAGGAGAGAAGGTAAGGTTGAATCAGTCACCAACAGCCGTGGCTATGTAATCAAGGCTCCTTAAAAAAGTCACAAGATGGGGCTCAGAGTTTCCCGGTTTGGTGAACACATGACTTCTGTGCACCGGGAGAGGGCTTGTCCCTTCCTCAGACCTCTGTCTAGCTCTTCCATCCGGCTACTTCTGAGTTGCAACCCTTATAATAACCTCATCATCCAGTAGGTAAAAGTTTCTCTGAGTTCTGTAGGCGACTGTAGCAAATTAATCAAACCCAGAGAAGGGGTGATGGGCCCTCGGATGCACAGCCATCAGTCAGAAGTGCGGGTGACAGCCTGATGTCTGTGCTGGAGTGGGGCCGCTGTGGCCTGATCCCTTCACCTCTGAGCCGGAGGCTCTTCCCAGGTAAACCTGAGCTGAACTTCCAGCCACACCGGTGTCCCAGCATTGTTTGTCAGGGTGGGGAAGCCTCCACACAGGAACTCTGGGAGACATCGTCCTCTCCGTGAACCACCTCTGCTGTCAAAACCACCAACGGCCAAATGTGTCTTCTTTCAGGCTGCAGCCCACAGCTCCTCGGCACAGGAAATCACAGTCGGCGTGGCTGCATGGCCTGGAGCCTCTCACAGCCCAGCAGCTGGGCCTTCCCCACCACCCCCACCCCCCTGGAAGCTGATAGGAGCCACTTTCTTGGGGTGGCTGAAATGAACCCTCGAGCCACACAGGAGCACCCCTGGGGCCTGCAGGATGGGCCCCCAGGCTTCCTGAGAGCACCTTGCACATCTTCCCTGTGTCATTGTGGGAGGGACAGCAGTGCCAGCGCGCACCTAAATGTTAATGGCAAACTGGTGAATGTGAAACATGATAGTTGCATTGTTAAGCTATCTACATTAAAAGGTGTTTGCTATTTTAGCCTGTTGTTCATGAAGTCATATTTTTGGTTGAGACTCTGCAGGATGGCAGCCATGCTAGGGGCAGAGCCATCTGACACCGTGCCAGGTCGGTCTGCAAGATGGCAGGTGCCCAGCAGGGAGACAGAGCCAGAGTGCGGGAGAGGGCGGCTTGGCCTGTGCACCTGAGTCCTGGCTTCTGCTGGGCTCCTTTTCTGCTAGAACTCAGGCTGGAGAGGGCAGGGCATGTGGAGAGGACTGTGGAGCTGCATGATGGCTGGTGCAGGAGCAAAGGGAGGGAAGACACACAGAGACCGGCAGGCCAGGGTGTTCACAGCTGTGTAACTGAGGACAATGTGGGTAGACCAGGCAGCGGTGATGAGAGGAGAGAAAGGAACAGGCTCCAAAGCCATGCAGAAAAGGAGCCAAGCAGAAGCCAGGACTCTGGAAGGACCCAGGTTCCTGGCTGGGGTGTCAGGGCCAGGGCAGGCTGACAGCTCGTGGAGAGCTTGCATAAATATGTCAGGGACCAAGAGTCAGCACCCCAAGATTGCTGGCAGAGTTCCCGGGGACTTGCATGCTTATGGAGAAGTACTGGCTAAGGGAGACCACCTGCAGATGCTGGTACAGGCCATGCTGGAAGCTTGCTGCAGAACGGCATGGAAAGGAGCATTTCAGAAACCCTGTGTGTGAAGCTGCAGTCCTGAGTCACAGAACCATGAGCCCTGGAAGAAGAGAGAGGCAGAGAAAGAGTTGCTTCCAAAAGCAGTCATGGGCAACTTA